TAAACTTGATGTAAATGATTTCCATCAAATTTACAGAATTTTGGACACTTACATCATATTTACATCAAATTTACAAGCTTTAAAGCGCGCGATTTTTTCCAGCGATACAGAACGCCAGCTCAAACGTGGTCGCTGCTCAGTCGTCCTCCTATGCAAACATGCTACTGCAAAAGTACAAATTGTGCAATTGAGAATGCAGCTGCAAAAGACCAAATGATTATTTATTGGGTGATTATAATCTTTTGAATTCAAAACAAATAACCGATGTTTTATTTGAAAGCTGATTGTCTCTTGCAAGGAGCTTACCAAACACAAAAAGCACGAGAAAATGTTGTAAGTACAAAAGTGCTATAAACAATGTACACTTCCTCCGAGTTAAAGGCTAACCCTGTATACCCAGAAGACTTAAACGTTAGGTCTAAGGGACCTGTTTACATGAGATAGGGTTCCCCTACGTGGTTGGGCTAACTCTTTTTTTTTTTGTTTTTTGTTTATCCCTGGAGGATTGAAAACAAATGATTTTGGCCCGGGCACCCTATCTCGTGTAAATAGGGTCCAATAGGAATACAGGGTTAGTCTCAACTCAGGGAAAATCCAAATTTTCAAGGCTATTGTAATAACGACATTTTCTTGTGCCCTCTTTTGTGTTTAGTAATGTCTTTGCGCAAGTGAAACTGTTGTCACATAAAGCAGCGTTTTTTTGTTTCCAATTCGAAAATACAGTATTGTAATTATGCTGTTGTAGTGTTACAGTTTTCCCCTGAAATCAATGGTGCAGCAAAAATATATTTGTGCAAATATAATGTAGCAGAAGCGACAACTTGCATGTACAACAACTGCCCTGATGCAGAAATACAAATCATGAATTCATGCTGCAGCACGAAAGTGCAAATTTTGAAAATATGGTGCTGCAAAAATAGATGAAGTTTGTGTAGATATGTTGTTGCAAAAATACAAATTGTAAAAAATACATGCTGCGGCATTTTACTCTCGTATATTCTTCTGTGGAAAAGTGAAAGTTCATTCTATTTTCGAGTTCACATCTTATTAAATCAACCAATAAACATTTGAAGTAACCAAATCGACATGATAGTAGTCGAGACAACTGGTGAACATGCGCGGAAACTGTCCGTTCCACTGACCGTACAATTCTGAGGCTTTTCCTTACAATGATTTGCTTTGACAATTGATTTCGCTTGGTTTTCTCCAGTAAAGTAAGCACCCTGCATATAGGAATACCATTCCTCGTTATTTGCCTCACCAGAAAAGTACAGATTTCCAAGATTTTTAGCAAGGTTTTCAAACGTTTTGCTTGTCATACCAACTGTACCTTCAGAGTAGCAACCTCGAACGAACTTGTTCTGGGTCCAACGTGGAGAGTAGATATCTTAAGAAAAAAACAATTTAGGACTGCCTAAACCTAACTTTCTGGGATGAATTACTCAAATCAAAAGAAGACAAGCAGGCCTGCCCTACAAATGGAAGGGGGTAGGAGGGTTCGTTTTACCATAATGCGGAACTAAATTAAATGTTAAACTAAATTGCTAATTAGTTCAATGTGTGTAAGAACTAGCTGCTAGAATGAGCAGGTCATAACAAAATATCTCACATATCATCATTAGAATAAAGGAACCCTACCTGTTGGCTCTGAGATATTTGGTCCATAAACGCCTTTTAGCATTTTGAACATTTCTGCCTTCGTATCTTCTAAGGATTGTTTCTCAATCCTTCTGCCTTCGTCACCGGTAACAGTGATCAGCAACAGACCACTGTTATTGGGATATATTCCTGGCCTTTGTAGATCCTGGAAAACCCAAAGGATTCATATAGGATTAGGCATTTGGCTTAGAGCACATAGTCGCATAAATTTACACCATTTCGCAGCAATTTGGCGTCTATTCCAAGCCATTACAATAATTACCTGGAAGACAGCTATGCTTTGACGTGTAGGACCAGCGTACAAAATGATTTCCTTGTCGTCCCAAAACTTGGTGGGAAACTTAACATAAATAGTGGTGTAAACAGCCATTGGCATTGTTAATATTGCCTCTTGCTTCCATTCTGGCAAGGGTGGTGTGAATGTCACCATGTCACTTGCTAGTACACCAGTACTGAATGTGCACAATGCATAGTCAGCGGTATACACTTCTCCATCGCTTGTTGTCACCTATGGGAAACAAGATAAGTGTTTTTTTTAGGGTTTTAGAATAATNGTTGTAAATTTGATGTAATTGTCCAAAATTCTCTAAACTTGATGTAAATGATTTCCATCAAATTTACAGAATTTTGGACACTTACATCATATTTACATCAAATTTACAACCTTTAAAGCGCGCGATTTTTCCCAGCGATACAGAACGCCAGCTCAAACGTGGTCGCTGCTCAGTCGTCCTCCTATGCAAACATGCTACTGCAAAAGTACAAATTGTGCAATTGAGAATGCAGCTGCAAAAGACCAAATGATTATTTATTGGGTGATTATAATCTTTTGAATTCAAAACAAATAACCGATGTTTTATTTGAAAGCTGATTGTCTCTTGCAAGGAGCTTACCAAACACAAAAAGCACGAGAAAATGTTGTAAGTACAAAATTGCTATAAACAATGTACACTTCCTCCGAGTTAAAGGCTAACCCTGTATACCCAGAAGAATTAAACCTTAGGTCTAAGGGCCCTGTTTACATGAGATAGGGTGCCCCTACGTGGTTAGGCTAACTCTTTTGTTTTTTTTTTGTTTTGTTTTTTGTTTATCCCTGGAGGATTGAAAACAAATGATTTTGGTCCGGGCACCCTATCTCGTGTAAACAGGGTCCAATAGGAATACAGGGTTAGTCTCAACTCAGGGAAAATCCAAATTTTCAAGGCTATTGTAATAACGACATTTTCTCGTGCTCTCTTTTGTGTTTAGTAATGTCTTTGCGCAAGTGAAACTGTTGTCACATAAAGCAGCGTTTTTTTGTTTCCAATTCGAAAATACAGTATTGTAATTATGCTGTGGTAGTGTTACAGTTTTCCCCTGAATATATTTGTGCAAATATAATGTAGCAGAAGCGACAACTTGCATGTACAACAACTGCCCTGATGCAGAAATACAAATCATGAATTCATGCTGCAGCACGAAAGTGCAAATTTTGAAAATRTGGTGCTGCAAAAATAGATGAAGTTTGTGTARATATGTTGTTGCAAAARTACAAATTGTAAAAAATACATGCTGCGGCATTTTACACTCGTATATTCTTCTGTGGAAAAGTGAAAGTTCATTCTATTTTCGAGTTCACATCTTATTAAATCAACCAATAAACATTTGAAGTAACCAAATCGACATGATAGTAGTCGAGACAACTGGTGAACATGCGCGGAAACTGTCCGTTCCACTGACCGTACAATTCTGAGGCTTTTCCTTACAATGATTTGCTTTGACAATTGATTTCGCTTGGTTTTCTCCAGTTAAGTAAGCACCCTGCATATAGGAATACCATTCCTCGTTATTTGCCTCACCAGAAAAGTACAGATTTCCAAGATTTTTAGCAAGGTTTTCAAACGTTTTGCTTGTCATACTCTGCTTGTGTCTTTGGCTTCCATCCCATAAGAGAAAGGCCAACCCTCGCTGGAATAAGCGGTTTCTTGTCTTTCTTCCTCTTTTCTTGTGCATCTTCAACATTCCCAAATATTTTGAGGAGTTTGTCGTAAGTTGCTTTGTTGGTAACGTTCTTGCCGTTCTCATCTCTAGAAAATATATATAGTATGAGTTTTAAGTAAAAACGTTTTACTATCACTCCATCGTCTATGTCTGCAAAGCTTTTAAAGGACCACGTATATCCAGAAAGCTTTGCGCGATTACCATCTTCAAATCGATTCTGAACCAATCAGAAAGCAAATTGCAACAACAGATCTTTGTCAACCACACATATGCCTTTTTGCATTTGGAATATCGACTAAAACCTACACCCAAAATAAATTGACTTCTCCAAGAATTATTATTTCCTGGTCCAGGAAATAATAAACCATTCACGACTTTCCAACGCAGGTTCAGTGACCACGAACAAAGCATTGAACCGAGGCGTCAAGGATCACAGATCTTTTCTTTTATGCTGGCTGTACCTTGATGCCTCGGTTCAATGCTTTGTTCATAGTCACCGAACCGGAGTGTGGAAAGTCGTGAATATGGAGTTTTAAAGATCCCTCAACGACCGTCATTCAATGGGGTCGTAATTGAGATTTTTCATGTATGGAAGAGGTGTCTGCAAGTATTCCTCCGAAATTTTTTTTCTATCCTTTGATTTTAATGCAATGCGATGCAAAATAATGCTATTTTCAAATGTAAATGAGCATATATAGTCAAAACATCGAAGATGAACTCGTCCACGATAGACTAGAAAATGAATAATGTGGCTGTTTTACCTAATAATTAAGTTTGAATAG